GAAATAACTATGTTGTTCCCAAGGAAGATTTCACTGACCACACACTCAGTTGATGTGGCCTGTAGGACAAATATTGTCCCACATATACCACCTATCCCTCTCCTTCAAGCCTGAGTAACACAACACTATGCCCAGCAGCTGCAGAGGAAAAAAGAGATGTGGAGAGTAGGCTTCCATCCAATTCATAGGTGAGAATAATGTACAAAAGACTACGAGTAGAGCAGACTCTTCATGCAGCATGGGGGCTGGCAGAGTGGCTCAAGTGGTAAAGCATCTGTCTAGCAAGTGTGAGGTCCTGAGTTTAAACCCAGGACTGCCAAAAAAAAAGTCGCTCTTCATGCAGAATGGTTTCTCTGTGTTCAAACATCTTTATCCATAAAATATCACCCAGGTACACTGGGCATGTTTAATCTTGAAATACCATTCCAAAAAAAAAAAAATCCAGAATGGAAAACAGTATGACTTTAAAAAGAAGTTGTTTTTTTTTGTTGTTGGTTTTTGTTTGTTTGTTTTAAATAAATGCTAGTTTATACCTGAAGTTTCTTAAACTCATACCTAGCTTATACCTGAAAAACCATTCCTCAACCTCTTCAATACTCTAAGATGGTCTCTGGTATTTTGAGAAGCTGATTTTTTTTTTTTTTTGGGGTGGGACTGAGGTTTGAACTCAGGGCTTTATTTATCCACTTGAGCAAAGCAGGCAATCTACCACATGAGCCATACCTCCAGTCCATTTTGCTCTGGTTATTTTGGAGATGGGGTCTCTTGAACTATTTGCCCAGACTGGCCTCCATCCTCCCCATCTCAGCTTCCCAAGTAGCTAGGATTACAGGTGTGAGCCACCAAGGCTCAGCTGAGAAGCTGATTTTTTTTTGGTGAGGACTGTAATTCCTGGTAGTTAAAACATGAAATATACATGGCACTGTCATAACTCCCTGGACTACTCAAAGCCCTGAGTTCAAACCCCTGTAGCACAAAAAAATAAAGTAAGAAACATGGGAGAATTTTTAAGTAGGCAACAGAAGATATTTATTAAAGTTGACTTTGCCTGCTTTATGGAGAACAGACAAAAGTAGAGTGAGTATTGCAGCAGTCTAGGCCAGAAACAACTGAAACTTGAACTAGTTTGGTAGAGGTTAGAATAATAAACCAGGTAAGAGCTGCCAGATTCATTTGAAAAGAAGGTAAGAGTTCCATTTTTTAAATGACTTTGACTAGTAGAAGACAAATCTCAATCTAATTAACAAATAAGACTTCATTAAAACTAAAACTACTAGTGTAGCCATGTGTGGGTAACAAAAGCTCTTCTAATCCCACTGTAACAAGTACATTTGTTAAGTGCACTACAGTAAATCCAGTTAAATATAAATTCCTGCCAACAAATTTAAGCATGAAAAATGATGACTAAAAGAACTAAGTTTTGTCACAATGAATTCCCCATGTAAAATGAATATATGCTAATAAAAATTTTTAAAAAATCCTAAGTTTTATGTGAGTGTATTTTTAAAGACTTTTTAAATTTTGCTTTAAAATTTAATTGACTTTTGATCTAATCTGAATGGTATTTGATATAGCAGTAATGAAGCTAACAAACATGCAATATTTAAAACATGTCTTTCCCTGCAAACAAATACCTTAAAGTTTTACAAAGAGCCCAGCTTCTTTGATCTAAACACTAAATAAACAATCAAACAGTTAGCATTAGAGCCTGAATGGATCAAAAGTAGACCAAGAAAAGATCTATTTCACCTCAACAATATAGTAGAATGGCTTACCAAGAGAATGTTGAAACAGTGAATGCACTGTTCAGGGGCAGACATGACAGCAATAAAATCTAATGAGGCAACAGAGAATGAATGAATAGGCCTTAAAGCCATAATACCACTTGTGGAGTGGCTCAAGTGGTAGAGCGCCTGCCTAGCATGTGTGAGGTCCTGAGTTCAAACCCCAGTCTGCCAAAAAATAAATAAAAGTAAAAATAAATTTTAAAACCCCACAAATAAAACCATAATACCAGAGAGGATGCTTTTCTTTGGTTTTCCCTGCCCTTCAATTAACCATCATAAAACAACTAAAAACTAGACTCTTTCAAATGAGCAATTAATACACATCACTCCCACTGTTTTCTAATAACACAAATGTAGATAATAAATCCATCTATCGGGTCAGTATTAAAATAGCCTTGGTCATACTTATGTTTACCTAGTTTTAAAGTGCTACAGCTGACAAATATTTACATTACATCTCAAAAAGTGCTAGCAGAGCAGCTCAAGTGGTAGAGTGTCTGCTTAGCAAGTGTGAAGCCAAATTCAAACCCTAGAACCACCACAAAAAAAAAAAAAAATACCCCAAACCAAAAAAATCCTCAAAAAGTAAAATCTCAAAAACATTTTCCCTCAAAATCACCAGCCTTTAAAATAACCAATTGGCAGGCTAGTGGAGTGGCTCAAGTGGTAGAGCACCTGCCTAACAAGCAGGAAGCCCCAACTTCAAACCCCAGTACTGCCAAAATAAGTAAACAAACAAACAAACAAATCGGTACTAGTGGGAGGAAGAGAGTAAATGAAGAAAGTAAAGAGGGTGAATATGGTGAGGATGAATATGGTTGATGTACTTTCTATACAAATATGAATATAGAACACTGAAATCTGTTGAAGTCACCGTAAGAAACAGACTGGAGTAGCAAGGGGGATAATAGAGGGGATGAACCAATTTTGGGTATAATACATGTATATATGAAAATGTCACAATGAAACCCCCTGTGTAACCATCATAAACTAACAAAAGTGTCTTTTTTAAAAAAATGAAGATGGGTACCCTCTCTTGGGGAGCTCTCCCCCCCCCTCCCCGAACTCTTAAGGGCTCTACTCTCCCACTTTACTCTTTTCTATCTCAATTAAACTCTTCCTATTTACACTTTTTAAAAGATGAAAGGAAGGTAAAACTGGTCCTGAGGGGGGATGGCATAAGAACAAGGTGAAGGGGAACAAATATGGTGGAAGTATTTTGTATTCATGTATGAAAATAGAACAATGAAACCTACTGAAATTGTTCTAAGAGGGGAAGGGAGGATAAAGGAGAAATATGGAAGGGGTAAATCAACATATATTATAAACATTTATGTAAATGTCACAATGTACCCCCTGTACAAGTATAGTATGCTAATAAAAAATATCAAAGCTATCAACAGACAAATTCAACAAGTTACTAAAACAAAACAAAATAAAATAATTAATTGGAGCCTGGTGCCCATGGCTCACGCCTATAGTCCCATCTACTTGGGAGGCTGCAATTAGGAGGATCATGGCTCGAGGCCAGCCTAGGCAAATAGTTTGTAAAGAGCCATCTCCAAAATCACAAGAGCAAAATGGATTGGATGTGTGGCTCCAACAGTAGAGCACCTGCTTTGCAAGCACAGAGCCCTGAGTTCAAACCTCAGTCCCATCAAAAAAAAATTATTTTTTTTAAGTGGGTCATCTACTCACTTTCCTTAATCTTGCTCCAAATGCATCAGCATGAATCATATGCTAAATAACACCTTCCTGAACTTTGTCAAGGAGCTCAATGCAAAAATACTAATAAGTTATAAATAAAACCTAAAATTCGGTGCTAGCAGTATGGGTCAAGTGGTAGAGTGCTTGTCTAGCATGCAAAAAGCCCCGAGTTCAATGTCCACCACCACCACCACCACCCATCCACACACACACACACACACACACACACACACACAAGCCAAAATTCATAACTTCAAACCAAAAAGTAAACTATCGGGCTAAGCTTATTTCCAAATTCTGATTTTAAAGGAAGACTTCCCCCAAACGGCAGGTGAACAAAGATTTCAAAGAATATCAAAGAACACTGCAGGAGAGTAAAAAAAAAAAAGTCTTAACTTGCTACGTTGGGAATGCATCGCAGTGACCTACAGGAGCTACTTAAAAAGGAACGTTATTTAGAATACAATGCTTCAAATCAGCATAGGAGAGCATTGACTAATGTACTTTAAAACCAAACAACCCAGGTTCCCCTAGACCCCTTTCTTTTTATTTCAGTCCCAGCGACTGAGTCACGGAATTTTCACTGTGATATCAAGAAGTCCCCGCCATTCTGTCCTTAAGTCAGCAGACAGAAACATTTTTTCCTTTATTTTATAGGCAAAAAGTGAAATCTATGAATGTCTAGGGGGTCTTGTGTATTGGTACCTGTTGGTAGTGTTGTGTGCCTGTTGTTATTTATAAACTGCCAAGTAGTGACAAAATAAATAATGGCTAAAAAGAGGGGTCAAAATTAGGCATTGGGGTAACAATCATTGCCTCAGCCATAGGACCCTCCCCCATATAATTATCGTTCACTGCGTACTCAATGTAACTTGAAGTCGAGAGTTCATTTTTGAGGAACTATCCCAGGTATCAGAAGGTTGAACCAATGCAAAGCTGAAAGACGCTATCTCTCTCTCTGATGCTGGACTGAACCATCCAGAGCCTCGTGCATACTTAGCTTTTACCCCCAACCCCAACATTCTCTCTTAATGCAAATGCACAGGGATAAAGAAAACCAGCGCCCAAGACGGTAAACCTGACCTTGCGCACAGTGCACTCGCTCTGCACTCCTCCCCCGGCGCCCCTCCCGCCCCGAGCCGGTTCCGCAGCCCCGATTGGTCAGTCTGCTTGTCCCAACATCTGTCTGCCCGTGACTGACAGGGGACTCTCCGCGGCAGGAGAGGGTTGGTAGGAGGCGGCCGCGGGGCGCGATGAGGCCCGGAAGGCAAGGACTCGGCGGAGAGGACCTTCGGAGAGATGCGGCTTGGCGGCAAGGGCTATGGGGACGAGGCTTGAGAGGAGTTCTGGGGCCAGGCAAGGAAGGTGCTGGGAGGTCCGGGTGAACTGAAAGGATGAGGGCCGCCAGCTGGCAGAGGAAAGGGGAAAAAGAGCGAAGGGGCTGGGAGGCCTCCAAGGAGCCAAGAAAGAAGGGCGCGGCGGGCGGGGACTGGCGCGCGGACTCACGTTCTCCCACCAGCAGGATCCGCACGTCTTTTTTCATGTCGGCGGCTCGCAGGGGCCGGGCTCGGCCCGCACGCATGGAGTGAACGCCTGTGGCCGGGAGCGCCCACCCCACGGCGCCGCTGTCCCCGCGCTGCCGGCGCCACCTGTCAGCCTCTCCGCCAGACCTTCGGCCGCCGGGCCCGCCGCGCCGCCTCCTCGGCTGCCACTCAGCTCGGGCTCCGGGACAGCGCCAGCTCCGCCTCCTCCGGCTCCGCGGGCGGCGGTGGCGGCGGAGACGGGGACGACGGCGTGCGGCGAGGGACGACGGCGTGCGGCGAGGGACATGCACTTCCGGAACGCGAACACTCGCGAGGGCTCAATAGCGCCCCGGGCGACAGACTTGCGGTAGCGCAGTGCCTGGGAACCTAGCTCACTTGTGGTGGGCACAAACTCTAGGTGGGGAATTCCAGTAGTCCATAGGCTCATTTCATTTATTTTACAGAAATACGAACAGGAGAGGTTTCTTGCCCAAGGTCACATAGCTAGAGCTTGGCAGTGACTCAGAGCAGGATCTTATCAGAGGAAGCTCCAGGTTGGCAGTGACCTGCCTATCTGGTTTTCAGCTGTATCCCCCCACCTTGCGAAATAGGATGATTGGCCCCCAGGGTCCGACCCTGTACACTCCCCAGTGTCCTAGCTGCTTTTTTTTTCTGGTGCTTATAAAATACTATTATAAAATAATGTTAGTTAAGCTGGGCAGTGCACACCTGTAATCCCAGCAGTACTTGGGAGAGTAGGATAGGAGGATTGCCAGCTACTGGCCAGCCTGGGCTATATAGCAAGACCCTATCTCAAAAAACAAAAAATTAACAGTATTATGCTGTCTAAAAAGACCCATTTATTTGTAAACAAACTAAGAGACTTTCCTTTCTCTGTGTAGTTTAATACTTCTTATTCAGGCTTGCCCACCATAACGATAGACATATACGTATCACTGGATAAGAAACTCTGATTTTTCTAATATTTTCATTTTCTCCTGATCCCCTCCATCTGGAGAAATTTTTTGCCACATCCTTAATGCTTGACACACAGTGAGAGATACACGGTCATGTCCTACATAAAAATATGTTCATTTCAATCAACAATGGACCACAATGGCTATCCTATAGCCTAGATGTATAGTACACTATACTATCTGTATTTATGTAAATACAATACTCTATGATGTTTGCACAATGACAAAATAGCTTGATGCATTTATCAGAACATAGCCCAATTATTAAGTGACTTATGACTATGTTACATATGCATATATACTTCATATGTTGAATTAGTGAGGAAATGTGATCTGTGTATAATGTATTTTGTTTCTAGCTTAAATATTACATAATACAATTTTAAAGGGACTGAAATGTACCTAATATCAACCTCTTTCTTCCTGGAGAAATCAGTGGTCTCCTGGACCAGTTTGGAGCTGCTGACCAGTTTCCTACTTTTGAATCCAGATTGCATCAGCTAATAGTTGAGTGTCTTAAATCACTTCTCTTCCTTTTCTGAGCCTTTTCCTTCCTCTGTGGCATGAAAATGAGAGTAATACCTACCTCTACGTGGTTGTGAGGAATAAGTAAGACCATGCATGTCAAGCATTTGTAATAGTACCAAACTCAGTATGTGCTCTGCTGATCTCAGCTATCATTAGGATCATACAAGTTCACTGAAGTTGTAGTACACAAGTTTTCAGGCAAATACATTGTTATGTTTACTACAGTATTATTTCACCATCTTAGCTGTCTGATTTCTCAAATGAGAACACCAAGTCTGTGATGTGAAGGAGGGAGATGGGAAAGACATACTTCTTGTTCATTAGGAGATAATGAAGTCATATTCCTGAAGCAAAAAAGGTGCACGTGGCTCTAGAGGACTCGTGTCATCTCTCTGTGCCTGTTTCCTCACTACCAGATAAAGTCTATAACCTCTTTCTTGCAGAATTGTTGGGGGGAACCAAAGAAATAATATACTTATGTTCTTTGACTTAGGATGGAATTACATCCAGGTGAACCCATCATAAATTGAAAATACATCTAACCTACCAACACCATAGTATTGCAACAGTAAGCTCTGACGTCTCAGTTGTCTGCCTTCCTGAGTGTGGAGCTGACTGGGAGCTGTGCTTGCTGCTGGTGCTCGGCATCACCAGACAGGATCATATCAGCTCCAGAAAGAACCAATATTCAAAATTTGAAGTGCAGTTTCTACCAACTGCTTTATCACTTTGGCACCATTATAAAGTCAAAAGATTATAGTCAAACCATAGTAAATCAGATACTGTCTGAATTGTATGTGAATAATGTAATTTGCTGTAAAGCTTTTTCTTTCTTTTTCTTGGTGGGACTGGAGTTTGAACTTGGGGCTTTTGTGCTTGCAAAGCAGGCACTCTATCTCTTGAGTCACAGCTCTAATTCATTTGGCTCTGGTTATTTTGGAGATAGGGTCTCACGAACTATTTGCCCAGACTGGCCTCAAACCTCATTCCTCCTGATCTCACCTCCCAAGTAGCTAGGATTACAAGTGTGAGCCACGGCATCCAGCCATAAAGCTTTTTCTTAAAGAAAAAGTTACACAAATATCAGATAATAAAAGAACAAAAGCCTTTTACAGAACTGCAAACTTCTGGCTACAAGTAACACTGTGTGGTAGAGTTGTGACCCCAGGACCTCTCTGGCACCATAGCCAATTGATGACAGTGTTAATTTTGCAGGGCTTCTCCAGGAGGACCTCATAGTGTTGTAGATGTGAGCTGACTAAGGTTCTAACATTTTTATGATGGGCACTGGTGGCTCGAGCCTGTAATCCTAGCTACTCAGGAGGCAGTGACTAGGAGGACCATAGTTTGAATCTAGCTGGGGCAAATAGCTTGCAACACCTTAACTCAAAAAAAGCCATCACAAAAAAAAAAAAAAAAAGGGCTGGTGTAGTGGCTCAAGATGTAGGCTCTGAGTTCAAACCCTAGTATCGTGAAAAAAAAGTTTTGATATTTTTATTAAGGGAAATATCTGGTAAGAAGGGGACTAGGGAGAAGGTTCATTTGGGGAAACATCAGAGAGATGATATTGTGAAGAACTTCTGTGTAAATAAAACTTACTTAAAAATCCAGACTGAAGCCAGGCATGGTGGCCCATGCCTATAATTCCAGTACTCAGGAGGCTGAGGTGGCGGGTCATGAGTTTGAGGCCAGCCTGGGCTACATAGTGAGTGCAAGGCCAGGCTGGGCTACATAGCAAGACTATGTCTCTAAAAAGCAAAACATTTCTGACTCAAGGGCTGCAGAAAGGAGGCAACACCAAGCACTTTCAGTGGGCAATGACTATGGTTTAGAACAAACCAAGGCTGGCACTTTTGCTAAAGTAGGGGGAAGAGAAAATGATGCACAAGTTTCCCTCCCCGGCAATGTAACTTTCTTTTTACAGTCCCTATCCATGTCCTATCAGCTATGCTTGCTGATAGTCCATCTGGCTCTGTGGCTTGCCTTGAGCCTCAAGCTGTTCTTATGAGTTAACAAATGTCCACTAGGGGTCATTCAGACTTTCTCCTGGAGACAGCATAGATCAGTGGTTAAGAGAGAGGACTTGAAGTCAGCCTGGTAGGTCTGAACACCAACTCTGCCAATTACTAGCTGTGCATCACAGGACAAATTATTCACCCTCTCTGTGCCCCATCTGTCAAATAGAAATAACAATAGAACATAACTCATGAGATTGTTAGAAAGGATAAATGAGTTCACTAAGTGAGTTAATATAACAGGAAGTCCCTAAGGATGGTTGGCTGTACATGGTCAGTGATGAATAAATGCCGAATAAATAAAATAAATTTTGGGGGAAACAGCTCTGCCAACCTCTCTGAGCATGAGGATAGAGCCTGTAATGTTATGCACTGCAGCAAAATAGAAGCCAGAGAATGGAGTTGTTGGCAGTGAAATTTATAAATTTATTACAGCATATTAAATAGATGAGATTAAGCTAGAAGGACAGATTGGAATTTTCCTCTAGAATGCTAGGAAGGAGCTCTACCTTCAGAAGACAGGCTTCATGCTTCTACTGTGCAGGGAACATTGGGATCTCCTGCTTTTGCCAGGAGATACGGGGATCTTTTATTCCTATCAAAGGGAAAACTTGCAACACAGCCTCTCTCTGAGTCCCAGGATGGTGGAACACCCCAGGCCAGTAGGAAGACCTGTTGAGTAAAAGAGATAGTATGTTAGGTAAATGACTGATACTGGGTGAGACAAGGGCTCCATCTCCGACTGGTGAGTTTGACACAGTGCTGAGCAGGAAGCCAAATAAGTCTTAGGTTGGTTGGCATCAGTCCCATCCTTCAGCTCCATCTATCTATTGGGTCTCTCTAGTCAAACCCAAAGCAGCTTGTAACATCTACCTTCTCTTCACTTTTGTCTCCTGTTCCTTTCAGGAAGCCTTCCTCCTTCTCCTACCCAGTCAGTCTGTTCTGGCAGAGCAGAAAAGTTCAATGACTTGATGCCAGGTAAATACTGTAGCTTCAATGCACTTGTAATTAGTTCAATATCCAAACATCAATGTCCTCTGCATAGTCCCAAGGGTCAGTCCTTAGAGGACATGGATTCTGTCTGCTTGATTTGGCTTAAAGGTATATCACTCAGCACAATTACTTATTAAAAGGCTCTTGTTTATAACTGTGTTAAAACTTCAGACAAAAGCTTCATCCATTGATGAGGCTGCACCCAGTTTCCTTTTAATTTCCTCAGGTTCTTTTCAGATACACTGCAAAAGAAATGCCCTCAATTAAGAGGGCAAAAATGGCCTGAATTCTGTATGGAGTGGTTAAGAGCTTGGATTCTGAATTGGACATTTCTTCTCCATAATGTCTCTGAAACACACGAACCTCACGTGACAGCGGAACTCTTGTAGGGCTGGGTTGAGAATGAAATAAACTGATGCGGGTAAAGCACCCATCACATTTTGACATTTAGTAGAGGAGCTCCCCTGTCACTCCTAACAGCTGCCTTTTAAATTTGGAATGCGTTTGCTGACTTGCATTTCCTTCCCAAGGGCAAACTCATTAGCCTGCCCATCAAACTGTAAACTCTGAAAGGCAAAAAAGTATTTAATATCATTTTTAATCACTTGAGAAACATTAAAATTTCTGCTAACTTATATATACCAGTCAGGGATTCTCAGAATTTTCTAGGCCCTAGGCCATTTTGCAAATCAAAAACTTCCATGGAATAGTAAGTTTATAATCTGTTTACCCCTGCAAAAAATTATCAGAATTAAATATATTCCTAGACAATAATTCAAAAGAAAAAATACATATGCACACATATATATGTGTCTATACAAATTGTCCCTCAGTGTAGGTGGGGGGAGTTGGTTGGAGGATCCCCCTCAGATGCTAAAAATCTAAGGATTTCAGCTCCCTCACATAAAATGGCATAGTACTTCATATAACCTATGCCATCTCCTCTATTCTTTAAATCTAACACCGAATGCAATGTAAATGCTATGTAAATTGTTGTTATGCTGTATTGTTTAGGGAATAATAACAAGGAAAAAATCCATACATGTTTGATACGGACACAATTTTTATTTTTAATGTTGTTGCTGTATGGTTAATTGATTCTGGGGATTTGGACAGAACCTGATGATTTGGAGGGCTGACTGAATTACATATATATATATATATATATATATATATATATATATATATATACATATACATATATGAACATCCGTATTTTATATATAAAATGTATGAAATTGTGAAACGTGTATTTGGTCTTCAGCTATTTCCTGACGTACAGCTCTTAAAACACTGGGAACATCCAGTGTGATAAATGTCTCTTATATGCAAATAGGATAAGATGACTGGGGACCCCTAGATTGCTTCAGGATGGGCACCAGAAAAAACAAGACATAATTAGAAGATTGGGACTTCCCATCTCACACCCAAACCTCCAGGGAGGAGAGAGTGCCTGAAGATTGAGTTCATCAGCAGTGACCAATGACTTAATTATGCCTGTGTCATGAAGCCTCCATTAAACTCTGCAAAGGACTGAGTTCTGAGAGCTTCTGGATAGCTGAACATGTGGAGGAGCCCAGAGGGTGGTGAACCCCCACAGGTCGTGGAAGCTCTGCACCCCTCTCTCCCATACCTTGCTGTGCATTTATCTTTTCTATGTGGCCTTTCATCTGTATTTTTTTGTAATATCCTTATAATAAATGAGTAAACTTTTTATTTTATCATTTTCACATTTACTTGTATGTGTATTCATTGTTTGGGCCACCTCTCCTCCCCGCACCGACCCCCCCATAAATGAGTAAACTTAAGGGAAAGTTTCTCCAAGTTCTGTGAGCTGCTGTAGCAAATTAATTGACCCCAAAGAGGAGGTTGTGGGACCCCCTGACTTGTAGTCAGTCAGAAGCACAGATTACATGTTTGTGACTGTGTCTGAAGTGGGGACAATCTTATGGGACTGAGCCCTCAATCTGTGGGATCTGATGCTATCTCCAGGTAGACAGTATCAGAACTGAGCCAGGACACCAGACTGCTATCCACTGCAGAACTGTTTGCTTAGTGTGTGGAGAAGCAACCTACACACACCTGTG